ATACACTATAAATTGTTTATTTTCCTATTTTAACTTTGTTAGTTCAACTCTAATTATGAATGCTCTCTTATAAATTATTAAATGATAAATGCTATTTTAGTTATTTTTTATTTAATTTTATTAAAATCAATTACATTATAATTATTTAATTTCTTAATATTTATACAAAAGTGAAAATAAACAATTATTTAGAAACGGAATGAGTAGTTATCAATTATCAACCAAATTTAGCGATTGTAGGGAAGAATAACCTATTTAACTGAACAAATAGTGGGAATTAACTTTTGACTATAAAAGTAAATAGATGAATCCGATAACTAATTTGAATTTAGAATAACAAAAGGCGGAAATTAAATTTTAAAATTTTAAATTAATTGAAATATGTAGAACATAGTATCATTTAAATTTCTTGAGATTACAAACTAAGCAATGTAGATAGGTTTAGAGAATGCTTAAGAATGTTGGTCAACAATACAAATTTTTTGAACAAATAAAATATTTATAAAAAGAAAAATATAATTTTACAAAATGCAGAGAATTTCACATTTATATTTATTTTCTATTTTCAATACTAATTATTAGACTCAATAATATTTAACAATTAAATTACTTTACTGATTTTTCTTTTTTAAATTAATACTAAAAAAAATAAAAAAAATATGAAGACTGCAGATAAGTCCAAATGATATATTGAAGATTATGATAGCTAAAAATCAAATCAGAGAGTGTCATAAATGCAAAAACAGGATCTATAAAAATTGTCAGTTGGAAAAAAAAAATTGCAGAAGCAGAGAGTGTACGAAAACTATGGAAACTATTGAATTAATTAAATTAATAATTTATTTGGTCATTTTCGTAGTCATTCAGCCAAGAATGGCAACAAAAAGCTGATGAATTTAATAACAGTCAGTCATTTATATCTATTTTTGTGAAATATTGCATTCAATTTCTATTTCTTTTGAAACTCCCGATGAAATTGCTTAATACCCACAAGCTAGCCATGCAAATTTAACAAAATATTTTGTGTTAGATTTACCTAAAATGAATTTAATTAATCAAAATGTGTGTATATATATACATATATATATAGATATTAATTCCCATTGATTTGACTAGAGCTACTGACACAACTGAATATGTGACGTAGGTTTCTGATAACACACTCTTTTCTTAAACCCAATTTGGAACTCTTTCTTCGTTTCTTTTTTGGGTTTAATTAATTAATTGTGCAGTCGAGGATATATATATATCCTTTTTCCCATTTTTTGTTATGCTGAACAAATAAGAAAAGGGAGTGGCTAAAACAAATCCCGATTTTTTTTTACTTCAATACCAACAACATAAAAAATAAAAAATAAATTGATAATAAATAGATAATGACAATATTACCCTTAATGAAAATCAATATCACACCCAAAATTTGCGTGGCATTGATTTTATTAAGGGTATTAACGTCATTACCTATTTATCTTTTTTATTTTTCTATTGGTGGTATTGAAGTGAGAAAAAAACAGTATTTGTTTTAGCCGTTCCCATAAGAAAACACTACAGAAAATGTTAAAAATAATTCATTGGAGCCATGCCAATTAGAGTCTTTTTAATCGGTTATTTCTATACTAAACTCGATGCGTACATGTTGTACCAGGTTTAATTTTTTTTTTTTATTGATCTAAATACACTAGTGTAAGTCATGTGTATAAATAGTAAAGATCTAATAAATGTATTTCAACCTTTGTAACTCAATATAAATTAAACTCTTTCGATTTTGATCAAGAAATCTGATAGTGTATTCATTCGGCAATGCCTCAGCACCCCAAAATGTAATTTGCCCCCAACTATTTAGTCATGGGTGGCATTGCATTATTGAGTATTGTAAAATATTTGTGACATATGCATATATATTATATATATGATTAAAATTTTGCTATGTTGAGATTAATTACTCATAGCTTAAAGATTTTATGTACAACGTAATATCTTAGACAAACTTCATTTGAATCCATTTGTAACGTTTTTTTAGATCGAGTTATTTCTTACATGGTTAGTCTAGTGTAGTGTCGGTTTACATCTTTCATGTGGTTCGGAAGTTATTGCACGAGATTTAAGGTTTACTTAGTGCATCTATACAGTCAGTAAACTATTCCCTATATTTTTATTTTATTTTATTTTAGTCCATATTATTTTAAGTATATCATAGTAGACCATCATATACCAAGATTATCTCAAAATATGTTTGTTTTTAGATATTTCATCAATAAGGTATACATTAAACTTCATTTATAATACCTAAAACTTCTAACTTGACAGCTTAAAGTTGATTTTCTACAATATTCGCACACCCAAAAATAAAAAAAATAAAAATAAAAAGAAATTCATTTATTTTCAATTTTATTTACAATCACCAACTTCTAATTATATAAAAGTATTTGCAAACAACTCCAACATTTGAAGATAAACATTTACTTTGAACTTTAGATCACAATCGTCAACTTCCACTCATACAAAAGTTTTTTTGCAAACACCCCTTTGGTGGACCACTTTGAGAAGATTTTGGAACTATATATTTTATTACAAAAAAAAGAACTAAAATAGTAGATGATATAGAAATATTGACTACAATTTTATTCAATATGTAGTCAATGAAATATTTATAAATGGACCACTTTGAGATACTTTTGATATATGAGGGACTATTACAAAAACATCTAATTAGTGAAGGGGGCTAAAGTTAGACTCGACATATTTAAAGAGGATAGTTATTGGTTCCTCAATTTCAGTTCTAGTGTCTCGAATTCATCACCAAATAGTTCTAGGTGCAAGATGCTTACCAACGGACTACCTTATCTTTACTGTTCAAATATACTAATTTAAACCGGCATGTACTAGTAATGAAAAACCACTTTAATAGTAATATTTTGTTTTTAACTTTTTTTTTTTTTTGTATTCTCTCAATATAAAAAAAAAATATGTTTAATTACATTTACACAAAGTTTGCATATTTATCTTCAATAATTATTTCCTACTCTCTTTTGAGTTTACAAAGTTGGCAACTGAAAAGAAAATGAGCCTGCAAATTAAATAAGGTTCAAGCCTTTTTCCAGGCCCAAAGGGCCCAACAAGGATTCTTTCTACACAAACCATCATATACATTAAAGGAAAGTATTTCCTATACATAAAAATTACAATAAAATAAAATAAAATACTACAAGTATTTTTTTTTTTTTTAAAGTTCTATTTCCTATTCATTTTTTTCTATTCCATTCTTCTATTTTGGCTTGGCCATATCACTCATCCATATTCCAATAGCAAACGTGCAATTGCAATTTAAAAAAAAAAAAAGAAAAAAGAAAAAAAAAACATAGCTATTAGATTTATGTACTAATCCCTCTCTTCTCAAATAATTGTTAGTTTTTACCTTTACACATGTATTAAGAAACTTAATAAGTGTGACTTGATTTTAGTAAAATTACAAAAAAATGACTAAAAGAACCATTATTATTTAATGATTTATACGTGATGGTTAATATTTATGATTGAATCAATAAGGCTGAACCAGAAAAATATACATTTAATGCAGTATTGAAAATGTAAAATAATAGATAATATGGAACAAAAATATTTTTTGTACAAGAGACAATTATTGGGGATAGAGGGAGTATAATTTAGAGATTTGATTGCACACGGTTATGTTTTATGTTTTATTTATTTTTATTTAAAAATAAAAAAAGAAAAAACATAGGAGAACTTACAACGTTTACGTTTTATTTATGTTTTTGATATTCATAATTAAATCATAGTGAAAATAGTCATTTACAATAAAAAATCTTGCTTAAGTCATGAATTGCAACAATTTTAGGGATTTTAAGCTAATAAAATACGAGGATATTTTTGTAAGAAGGAATGGCGAGGGTCTTCTGTGTAAACTAAAATAAGGGATGTCTGTGAATTATAGGGAAGATAGTAGTGAGGAACTAGTACCTAACTCTCTTTTTTTTAGAGTACTAAGTGCCAAAATATAAAATTTATATAGATTTATGGTTTAAAATCATCCGGTGTGTTACATTATTAGATGTATCATCTCAAAAACCACATTTATGTAATATTCACCTGAATTGGAGGCCAATAAATTCGTAAGAATCGACTTTTATCAACTATGATTGCGAGTACAAAAATGGAAAAACCAAGATTACGATCGTTGGAAATAACTATTACGGAAATACCATAATACCTTCGCCATACCTTCACATCACTAACATAGACTCGCATTTTCATCCACAATAAAAACCGGGCTTGTTTGATGCTATACCTAATGAAATACACCGGGTGATTATTAACCGTTGATCTGCATATAATCACACACACAGACCCATGTGTATGTGTACTTAGTGAGAAGTTATTTCACCACATCAACGGTTAATGATTACCCGATGTATTTCACCGGGTGTAACATATCAAAGACCATAAAAATCGTGAGATAAAATTTAAATTGTTCTATTTTTTTTTTACTATCTTCAATAACTTGGTTAAAATCTCATAACTTCCATATATTTTCCCTTTGCATTGGACAAACAGAGTATATTTTTAAGGTTATATATTGCTCCCTATTCTAGCTGAGGGATTGCATAATTATATTTGTTTTATTATTTTTTTAAGTTTTTTTTTCTCACACCTTATTTATGTTGTCCATTATATTTTCTTAGTTTGTTTATTTCTATTTGCTAGGTCAATTTTGGATTAATGTGACCGTCTATATTACTACATTTGATTGTTGGGTTATTTTGCTGGTCATTGAAATGCTACATCGGGTTCTCTACACCAAATAAATTTTAATAAGTAATGGGGTTAAATAACTACAATTCACTAAATACACATACACATAGATGTCTGTGATTATGTGCAGATCAACAGTTAATAATAATCATCCAGTGTATTTCACCAAATAAACCTATTTTGCCTAACTTCTTCTTGAACACGATTTGATGAAACATAAAAAAGTGCTAGAGACACAAAAATACCAATAAATCCAAGTAAAACACACAAAATATCTTAATCAAGTGCCAAAATGAAGAAACAAGACTTGAATTTATAAAACATATTTGTATATAATATACTTGTTTTTGCAATATTGTTTCTCATTACAATTTACATCCCAAAAAAAAAAAAAACCAAACAACAAATAAACCAGCAAACTCAAAGGTGTAAAACTAAAAAAGGGATTAAAAAAAATATTAAAATAAATAAAGGAGAAGCCAAAAGTATTAATTAATGAATTAATATAGTCATCAATCAATCTGGATTATTTTTAGAAGCACAAATCAGAAAAGAGAATCCAACCTTTTCTTCATGTTCATCATTAATCAGCTGCTTCTCATCAAAATTAATCTTCTCCTCCAACCAAAGCCTGCTGTCTGCCCCTCTCCTTGTCCTGAACAAGAAAACAGCGTACCCTTTCGTCGTCGTCGTCGGACTAAACAACCAATCGTGCACATTCCACATGAAATCCACCAATAACCCATCGACGAATACGGTACCGTTTCCCCTGAAATTCCACCCCAATCTCTTCACCTCAATCACACTCTTCTTATCTATGCACACACGCATTTCCATATCTTGATAATTGTTTCCCGTGCACTTTATCAAAATCTCGTGCCAATTTCCCGTCTCGCTGAATTTCGCCCTCGTCGCGTACACACCCGTATAATTATTATTATTTTTATGATTATTATTAGTACCTGAAAAACGCTCAATTCGCGAAACTAAAGTGAATCGAGAAACCCGCGTTTCAAGAACGCGTTTCTTGATCTCGAGTATTTCTTGCTCCATATCTCCGAGAATTAGGCTAACCTCGGAGTTTGCCAAAACCACGACGTAAAATCCGGCGACGGGTTCGGGGCCCGACCCGTACTTGGCAACCCGGAGATCCCAGAAAACATCCATAATCAAACTGCTCGACTCGAATGTTTCTTGGCCGTACTCCTTGCGTACGACTGTGAAGGTTTTGCTGAAAGCGGAAAACGCGTTTTCGCAAACGGCGATCGAGAAGCCCTTTTTCAGCAGAGTGTTGCACCATGTGAGCCTGATGAGAAAGTACTGCTTCTTCTTCTTCTTCGCCGTGTACTGATCGACTTTGTAAATGCACGTGACTGCATTTTGAATCGAAGGGGCGATCGAGTGCGACGAATTGCCTTGTTTCGAAGATCCGCCGCCCGAACAATAAGAATCCGACACTTTAATCGCGTGCTCGTTGTAACAAATCGCGATGTTCTTCATCGTGTATTTTTTTTTAACGAACGAAATTGAAATTAAATATTAAAAGAGGTTATATATATTTATATATACGTATTGGGTTATGTATATATATATATATCTATATGTATGTATGTATGTATATATATTATGTGCTTTGCCTGTGGGTGAAGGAAAAATGAAGATGTTTATTTATTTTGATCATGTGCCTTTCTTTGTGCAACAGTCTTTTATTATGTTCTGTCAGACTTGTACCACAATTCTGTAACTGAAAAACTAAATTGCACATAAAATTTTATTTATGGAGAAGATGAAATTAAATCCCTGCGTTTTTATTGATTTTGGCCACGTCATCTCATTTATTGTTAAGAATCTCCCACCTTATTACTTGTGAATTATCATAATTATGCATGGTAAAAAGGTGCCACAAAAATCAAAATGGATATTTAATTTCATCGTAAGTTTCTTTCATGTGACAGTTCATCATAAATAATATTAGTCGAAATAATGAAGGGGTAAATTACAACCTCTCCTGAGGTACGGTTTATTTATGAAAAAATCCCCTCAATTTTTCATAATTACATTCAACATCCTACAATTTATAGATTTATTATATTAATACCCTTTTGTAGGGGTGTTGGACGTAAGAAATTTACAAACTACAGAAGAATGGAAATAATTTCTCGAAAAGAAGAATTTTTTTTGTAATTACACTTTACTTATGATCGATCAAAAGTATAAACATATATAATTTTATTTCATATTACAACGGGCCAAATACACCATGTATATTCTTATTATACATTAACCTAAAAATAAATAAATAACACGCTGCATATCCATGTTGATGTGTGTACATGATAATCGATATAAATTTGACTGATACGAATTGATCCGATCTAGTTCTTAAAACATGAGATTAATTTCTTTATTAGTTGATTCTCCATATAAATCAAGGTGTTAATTGTTTCTTTATTTGTCATTTTTGTCTATTTAGACTTTCTCATTGCATTTTAATGTTATGAGCCTATGATATGATTAAAAATTTAAAACACAATTTTCTTTTTTTCCTTATTTGTGAAATTCTTGAAATTAATATCTTTTTCATAATGTTAAATTATTATTTATATATATGCATATTATATTGAAATGTTTTTGAGAAGCCAAAGGGTGTGTGCCTCCGCATGGCAATGGATATGATTGGTGGCAATTGTTGGGACCAAAATTGGGGATATTAGACACGATTTCAATTAGTCTTAATGTTTATAGACAAGAGACATGACCAAAGTTTTCTTGTCTAATTTTCTTTTTATATTATTATTATTTATTTTATAATTTCCAAGACTAAGATTTTGTACGGATTTTTTTCCCAATGTTACACGAAATTTCGTGGTACCCACCAGGTCTATGAGATGCTACACCATGTGAAATACATCGAGTGATTTTAAACTGCAGATCTGTACAATTCATCATCTACTAAACACGCATACACATGGATGTGTGTTATTATGTGTAGATTTATAGTTTAAAATTATTTAGTATATTCCACTGTGAGTAACATCTACAAAACCGTGCACTACCAAGGTAAATGCGCATGGCAACTGAAAAGTCGTGGTCACATTAATTTGGAGTATGGTACAATGTATACATCTTTTTTTTTATCATTTTTCTTTGTAGTAAATATATATTAAAAAAATATATATATTCATGACACCAAAAGTTCAAAACTAACGTTACTTCAAATGAACACAAACATTTATACATAAAGTGAAAAATAAAGTAGCTTCTTTTCGTTCAACAAAACATTAATTGCCATTTCACAATTTCACGTGGAATATAGATAGTTTACCATCATCAATTTAATTTTGTATTTCAATTAGGCCCCGTTTCGTTTGGGAGATTAGCCTAGATTAATTAAATAGTAAGGTTTAGTTTAATTAGTCTTGGATTAACCTTTATAGGTTTAGTATCAATCTGCCTAGATTAATTAAAGGGTAAATTCCACTTTACCCCCTTGTACTCTGCCCAAGAACCACTTTACCCCCCCGTACTCTTAATTTCGTCGATTTACCCCCTTGTACTTGTACAATTTTCCAATACAACCCTCTTCGTCAACTTTTTTCGATTTTGACTCTGACGCCATTTGGTCAAGAGTCAAAATATTGACGTAAATATTGAATTTTTTCGATTTTGACTCTCGAGATTAGAAAAGAGAAAGTTTCACACATTCATATATTTTTTTCTTTGCACTGAGTGGAATCGATCAATTTTTGGGTCTTGATTTTTACTAAGTTAGGTGTTCAATTTGGGGATATCTTGGAAGGGGAAGTGGTGGAAGAAGAAGAAATGACAATATTGACGGAGGAGAAACGACGCGTCAGTGGCAATTTTGTAATTTACAGAGTTGACCAAACGGCGTCAAAGTCTAAATTGACAAAAGTTGAAGGAAATGGCTGTATTGGGAAATTGTACAAGTACAAGGGGGTAAATCGGTGAAATTGAAAGTACGAGGGGGTAAAGTGGTTCTCAAGCAGAGTACGAGGGGGTAAAGTGGAATTTACCCTTAATTAAATAGTAAGGTTTAGTTTAATTAGTCTTAGATTAACCTTTATAGGTTTAGTATCAATCTGTAGACTCACTCTGCTTCATGTCTAGGTCACTTTTGGCTCATTGATACTTTGTATGACTCTTTTTATTTCACAATAATCACATCATAATTCGTAATGTTTACCATTTTACGGTTAAAATCATTGTTTTTTTAGTAACTTCCTACAAACTTATAGTCGCTTAATAATTTCATAATTATATTTAACAATTTCACTTAATTGTGGTTTTCAATTTTGCTGAATTAGTATATATCTTGTCAACTAAATATTTTGTTACTCCAACTATTAGCCAATAAAACTAATTATTAGGGGCACACTAACGAGATATTTATTGCAGACATTAATATTAAATGACACATTTCACTAATAATTTAAGTTTTTTGCTGAAATGGCCTTCATTAAACTTTGGTATCAAAGTCATGTCAAATGAAAGATTTTGAATTCGAATCTAATTGAGGAGGGAAAAGCCACATGGGCAGAAACAATTGATACCTAAAATGTGGTTTGGTTTTGGATAAAAAGTCATGTGTTGATGTTCCTCAAAAGTGATTTTTCAATGTATTGTAGGAGAAAAGTTTGGCAATTTTTAATAGGTTGGGATTTTTAATCACTTTTTAGGGATATATATAGTTCAACTACCTCTTAACTGCAGTGAAATGACTTTTAAGAAAATTGGACAACAAAAAAGATGATTGCACGAATCAAATGAAATTAATGTTGCACCTGCAATGTTTGGTGTCTTGATGAAGACATGTTTGGAGTTTTTGCCAATTAGGCATCTGATTTTCAACTAATAAAGAAAGTGAAATATCTATTTTACAAATTAATTTTGGTACTCTTTTTTTACAAAAACAATTGATTTATTTTGTATGTTGTCATACTAGCTAATAGATCACCATTTGTTGTCAATTATTTTTGTTGTCACTGGATTGAATTAGTGATACAACTGCACCGACAATATAATAACAAATTTTCTTGCTTAAAATGTTATAATATGTGTTGTCGCTCATAAAATTATTTTTTTGTAGTGATAATTGTAGCCGTCCAATTTGTGGTTAGAGTAAATATCCAGATTTACGATCCAAAATGATCAATAAAATTTATCCGCCTAGTAGAAATGAGTTTATTTAATTAAAAAAAATGGGAAAACAGAATAATGAAATGCATTTTGCAGATGACTTTTTCCTGGTCTGCAGAAGAATTTCATTCACTTTAAACTTTCAAATATCAAATTATCTTAAACTATGTCGTCGAACCCTCAAAGTCCTTTCAAACTTTCCGCATTTAATCCGGATTTTAGGTAAATATTAACTCGTTTGTATTAAATTAGGAGTCGAGAAAAAAATAAAATTATTAGGCTTTTGAGTTGTACAACTCGAACTATATTTAAAAGGGTTTCGAGCTAAAGAGCACGAAATGTTCAAAAAATGTGCACATTTCGTACGTGTTGTTTAATACGAAACAACACTTATCGTTTCTTCAATTTCGGGCTAAACAACATGAAATATTCAAACTTTTTTGAACATTTTGGGGGTATTGAGCACGAAATCCTTGCCAATCACCAAAAATTTGTGCTATTCAATACGAAAGGTTAAAAAAAATGAACATTTCGGGACTGATTGAAACTCTTCCAGACATTTCGCGTAGATTAGCACGGAATATTATATTTTTAAATTTATTTATTTGTATCTTTCTTTCGTTCTTTATTTCTTTATTTCTCTCTTTTTTCTTTTTTCTTTTTTACTGTTTTAATCACTTTTTTTTTAACTAATGATTTGTAATAGAAAGGGGCTTATGGTTGATCGTCGTAAGGGAAAGAAGCCTATGATTGATCCAACCAGTCTGCATCAAGGCCGTCGCCTGATCAAAGAAATGTATTGTCAGGACTTGGAGAGATGCAGTCGGACATTCTCATAATATCCCGTATATATGACGATGATCGATGCTTTTTATTGGCGATGATGATGATTTGGTAGATACGGCGATCATGCTTTTGTTATGCAGAGGTTCGAAGACGTGTTAGAGGGTCTGTACCCGGATGATGGTCCGACGAATATTAAGTTTAAACTGACCGATCGATCTCGTATTGCCGCTTACGTTTGGAATAGACATATTTGTGTGAAATGTGTGTATGTATTGTGTTTACTTCGTAGGGGGCAAATTCTGATAAAAGACCACGCAGACACAAAATGCCACATCATTTAAAATGTCTCATTGCTTAGAACACAATTCTTCCACCAATTTTACGCATCAAGAAACCTTAAAATGGACCACCCAATTCGATATGTGTGATTCAAGGACGGTCCAAATTAAAAAAATAAAAAATAATTTCATTATATAATGAATGTCTGGCAAAATTTATATTCCACAGTACTATATCATCATATATTTTGTTAGCATATATATTGAATATTCATTCAAATTAACTCATTACCAATACAAAATTTATATAATCAGTTCAACGAGGAATGCATACATATATACATACATACATACATACATACAATAAGAATATATTATATACCTGCAGCTCTCATTGTCCTAAACTCGAATATATCAAAAATGGGTTTTCTAAATTATTCTTTGCTCTAGGTCTCTGCCATAATATTTGGGGGTTTTTTCGAATAAAAATAAACCTATTTTTGTAAGGATATCTTATGAACTCCGAAAACAAGTTATTTAATTTCATTCATGTTCAATCGGAATTAGTTCTAGAAAAGCAAAATTTGTAGTCTTATAGCATGCACGGCATTTCCATGTTTTCAGTACAATTGGAAAATCGAAACGCTATGACACCCGCCCGAAACGTTTCGGGCCGGGGCCATTTTAGAATTTTTTTTTGGAAGTTTTAGAAATGTTTCTAGTGATGATGAAAATATGGAACTGCCCGAGTTTGATTTATTTCTTTGTTTTCTTAAATATTGCGTAACTTTTTCATTTGCGAGGTGTTTCTAACTCCTAAAGATATATGAATGATAATATTCCGCTATATATTTGTATTGTCGCCTAAATAAGTTGGATAGATCATTGCACTGTATATATATACACTAGATCGTACTGCCATATATATACTTCACAGATGTTTTGTTTCGTAAATTGATTGAGGTGCATTTAGATTGCTTGAGTTGAATTTACTGAGAGAGTTCAATAAATGATTTCAAATGACTCCATAGAGATTGGTCGGATTAATCTAGTCCACCACATAACTAGTTCAAAATCGAGAACCCGCTAGTCGCGAACTTCTTTCTCGATCTTCTACGCCCTAGCCTACTCCGATCCAAAGCGATACGCTTCTCCGTCGTCATCTTCTCCACCATTCCAGCTGAAAAATAGGTATGCGCTATTGGAGATATTAATATTAAATGATACATTTCAGTAACAGCTTAAGCATTTAGTTGAGATGGTCATTCAACATGACAGCTTAAGCTTTTGGTTGAGATGGTCATTCAACATGGTATCAAAGTCAGGCCAAATGAAAGGTCCTGAGTTCGAATCGCACAGCCACTCATTTAAAAATATTTCAAGTGCAAGGCTTCAAAAAGTAATTCGCCTGCACTTGAGGGGGCGTACTGGAGATATTAATATTAAATGATACATTTCACTAACAACTTAAGCTTTTGGTTGAGATGGTCATTCAACATGGACATCTATTTATCAGCGTATACAAAAGATGATCATTCAACATGGGCATCTATTTGTCGGCGTATACAAAAGGGTATTTTGGTATTAAAAGTTTTGGTTGTCTTTGATACTAAGGATTGTCTAGTAAATTGCCGCTTGTAAAAGGTCTCCAGCTAAAAGTCCCTTAAAACTTTTTGAATGTAGCTATGATCTTAGCTTATAATTATAAATTTATAATATTTGGGCATAAATTTATTGGGCCAGGCCCATCAGACACAAAGCTAACATATACTCGCAAAGGTCATTTAATGGGTAAGTTTGCTAAACATTCTTCAAATCTAATTTTCTTGGCAGATTATGGTCACCCCTGAGTAATGGTCAAATTACGAAAACCCCATTTTTATTTGGGTAATTACTGTCACCCCCTCAACTATGTATTATCTTACAAAAATATTCCTTCAGAGATAAATTTAGGGATGTTAAATCGGTATAACCGAACCGAAATTTCGGTAAGCCAACATTTCCTACCGTTTACTGAACTGAATATACGATTTGGTTCGGTAAATAACCGAATTACATAAATTTTATAAGGAGGGGGTAGATTACCAAATTACAAAAGAACCCCCTGAGGTAATTACAATCACCCTCATTTTAAAAATTTATTTAAAATGAGGGGTGTGGTTGTAATTACCCAAACAAGAGGGGTTTTTTTTATAATTGAACCATACTTTAGGGGTGACAGTAATTTGCTCAATTTTCTTTCATATCAGGATGCATTTTTTCTTTGGTGTTTAGATATAAACACCAAAGTGATACCAGGGATGGCAATGGGTACAAGTTTATCGGTTCTTAGGTCCGAAATTGATTCGTTTGGGGCGGATCTGGATAAGTTAAATGGTTTTGAGTGTAATGAGTTTAAGTTCCAAAACCAGGTGGTTCTGAGTTGGATTACAGTTCTTATTGAAATCGACCCAACATTAACCGATACAAGTATATTATATTTAATAATTAATCTACATATACAAATTATTTAGAAATTCATTTATCAAACTTTCAATTTTCATCGTTTATATTCTTATTTGTCTATTTTTCACCGTATTATTTTTTTTAAATCTCATTTCTTGTAAGTAATATATATCACTTGTTGACTAACCCTAGTCGTCTTGTCTTTTGTTCTTTATTTAGGGTAAAAGTTAAATATAATTAATTAATTATATAATTTTATTATTCACTTCATATCCTTTGTAGATGTTTTTAAAATATTGTTTTTTTTTTTTTTGAGATTCTTTTGTTAAAATATGCAAGGAAAATATTATACATTTTAAAAATATCAAACTTTTTTCTGTTTTTTATTTTATTTTTTATTTTATATGTTAATGGGTCTAGCAAATTAAAATCGTTTAATTTAGCTATAATTTGAACAGGTCTAGGTCTAAGGTCAAAATGATTGAGGTGAATCTAGATTTTTATATTTTTCGCGGATCAGATTTCAGGTTTATACAAACCCGACCCGTTACCGTCTATAAGGGATACTAAGAATTTGAAATGTGAGAAAGCTGCAATGTTTGGAAGTGTTTTGGAACTTATTTTGATTACATTTTGAGGAAATATGCTTTGGGGGAAGAATTTGAGAATGAAAGGAATGTTTGTTTATATTTTGGAAGGAGACAAAATACACTGTAGGAGTCAAATTATGTTTAAAGGTGTTAGAAAAAAGTATTTTAGAAGAAAAAAATTGAATGATGAAGTGATGTTTATCTGTTTTTTAGTGAAGACATATTTTACTGTAGCAGTCAAATCATTTTACTGTAGCAGTCACATCATGTTTGAAGGATAGAGAAACTTTTAAAATTGTTTTGAGAAAATATGATTTGAAAATTTTAATAAATACAATTTTATTTTGGGGAATCAATGAAAACAAAATAAAAATTCTTTCAAACATTGCATAACATTGTGTATGTAATCTCTAATATGATGTAAATATGAGTTAGTGGAGTTTGAACAAACCCACATTGTCAAGATTCTTGTCGTTTTCTGATACTTTAAATTTTAAAATTTCTTGTTGAATTTATTCATATTAGGTTGCCACTTTGATGCTCCATTTCCTTGCATGTAAAGAATAAAGATGCATCCAAAAAAGTGATTCATCAGATATTTTCAAAAATCAAAATCACTCAAGTATTCTCTCACACTTAAATAGCATTTAAAAAAACAATGGTAATGTTTGGATATATTTTTGGAGTTATTTTCAATTTATTTTAGAGAAGTATATTTGGAGAATGAAAGTAATATTTGTTTATAATTTGAAATGAGATAAAAATATACTGTAGTGGTCAAATCATGTTTAAACGTGTTAGGAAAAGAAGAAGAATTTGTAAAATAAAGTGATGTTTGTTTGTCTTTTTTAGAAGACATCAATAAAAAAAATTACTGTGGCATTAGGAAAATAATTAAACTGAGATGAAAACATAACCAAACATTGTCAATATCTCCCGTACTATAAGAATAATGATTTATTTAATGTTTATGTTTGAAATTAATTAATTTTACTTTTTTATTAAAATTCAAATCATATTAGAATATATAAGAAATAAGTTTGAACTTCCGATCTTGAGTTTTCAATTGCTCTTCATTTGAGGATCTAATCCTATTAATGGATCTATTCGTTCAGTGCCAACGAGACGATTTTTCTCGAGTTTAACATGTTCAACTAGTTGATTAATCCGACTTGCTAACCACTAATTTTCAGGTAAAAACTCTTCTACTTCAAAAAATTATAAAATAAATAAGTTAATTGATTAATTAAAACTTATTCACAATCAATTAGAAGTTATGAATTATGATATCCTTTTGTATTTATCCATTTCAAAATTGTATGGATAATTTACAAGTTGTGAAAAATAAATAAAAAATGAACAAGTGGATTTAGTTGTTCCAACCAACCGCTACCATTAAATAAACAAATGAAAAAGTCAGTTGATACTTGATAATAAAAAAAAAAGTGTCGTCATCCCTTACGTCACCTCTCACATAATTCAATTGACCTAAAACTGGCAGCTCCCAAATCCTTGTACGCACCCACACCAACCCCACCACCATCTTCTTCCGCATACCCTTTCACCCCTCTACTTTTCAACTTATACCAACCCAACCCCAAAACTCCTACAAATACCAAAACCGCCCCAAAAAGCAACCCCAGCCCCAATCCCAACCACGCGCCCACATTTTTCTTCCCTACACCCTCCCTCACCTTAAAATACCCCATCTTGGTCTCATCCCCAACCGCCACAAGCGTCTGTATGGGGTAGTCTAGCATGTAGCAGAACCCAGAGGAGTTACTGTACACCGCACCCCAACACGTGCAGTTCCCTCCACACGCAGCCTCACACAGTTCAACGGACGCCATTTTCTTGTACCCCATAAGTTCTTTAAATGGCAATTCGACCCCACTTCTTCTCAAAATCCTGAACCGGTTGTTATCGTACGCGCCGCAAAAGTCGCCCGGGTTTTGATTCTCCGGCGGACCGCAGCCGCCGGAACCGTGAACCGTCCGGTTGTCCAAGCACGAGCACACCTTGCCCGGTCCGCACAACCCGTAGGGGCCACACGAACTGGGTAACTCGCACGGATCGGATATTGCTTGGTAATCCAGTACCCAACTCGACCCGGTCCAGTAGTACCCGTTCAGGTTTCCGTCCGGTTCGACTCTGACCCGGCGGATACCCGGCACGATTTGCTGAAACGTGTTGAAAGGCTGCACGTCAACAGGTGGACCCGACCCGTTTTGGAACATGCCCAAATACCCGTCGGATTTGAGAACCAGGTATATGGGCTGGCCTTCGACTATATCCGCTTTCGCCTCCATAGCCGTGTGCTTCAAATATATTTGACCCGGACCCGTACCCGAACCCGCGAACTTGGCGTATAACCCCATGTGATCCGGACCCAACCGCATGGAGTAAACCCCATTGGAAGAAACTAAAGCAGTGGCAGTATCGAAATTTTGGTTCTCGACGAGGGTATCAGTGGGAAAGTCGAAACTTTGCCAGACAAGAGTGGGCCCATCAGCAACGATGAGATTCGAGGTGTTGGAGAGCCAAACACGGTCGCCCGACGGAGTTTTTGTTGACCAAAATACCCCTGTGTGGGGATCGGAAAGAACCAGGCTGCCGTTGAAGGAGAGCTGGGTCGGGTCGGCCCATCTGGGCAAACGGGTCGTGCTGGCGGACCACAGCGTGACGGAGGAGGGGAGGTGGAGAACGGAGAGGCTGAGCTGGTTTCGGTTGACCCGGAGGAAACCGAGCGAGTAGTTGCCGGAGGAGTCGGTCAGCAGAGGCTGGAAAGATTCGACGGCCGGATTTGGACCGGCTCTGAAACCTATATGGAGCTCATTTGACGGCGGCGGCGATGATTCTGCAGCACGTGAGGTGCACGTGAGTTGTTGGAGAAGGAGCAGGAGGAGCTGAAGTACACTGAATGAGTTCAAGTGTAGATGTACATGTTTATTATTATGTCTGTCCATTTCAAACTAAACTGCCATATATATATATATATCACAGTGTTTGTATATATAGTTTTTAATTATGTATGTATATATTTGTAGAAATGAAAGTGGAGAATATGTGATGAGAAGAAAAAGCTAAAGCTTTGAGCTAGAAACATTTGAGCTTGGTCTGTGTGTCTTTATATATATACATGGGCGTGGGAGTATTCTTTTCATATATCTTATTATAATATATATAATATTATACACACACACACTATATATAGTCTATATATATATAGAAAATGTAAAAGTGAGCATTTTCTTATTGTATTCATTTACCATGTTGCATGGCGAGTATACATATATATTTAGTAGTATTTAATATGAAATAATTGGTAGCTCGGTCTACCAAAAGACGGAATATATATATATATATATATATATATATATATATATATATATATATATATATATATATATATATATATATATATATATATATATATATATATATATATATATATATATATATATATATATATATATATATATATATATATATATATATATATATATATATATATATATATATATATATATATATATATATATATATATATACACACATCTCTATACACATATATATAGAAAAATATAGAAAGACATACACACTCTATATATATTGAGAGCACAATCTCTAGATCACTATATATGGCGCTGTAACAGAATGTGTGTGTTTGCACATAAATACACGTGCGAATGTGCGAATACATACGTATATATGTGTGTGTGTGTGTGAACACACACACACACACACACACACACACACACACACACACACACACACA